CGGGTTATCGGCGTATTGGTAAGTTATTTCAGCTAAGGGAAAAGATCATAAGTGGTAATTTGAGCAAAGGAATTGATAAAGGTGTGATTTAGTTGGCCTTATTGACTCACGTTTATGCTTTGGGAAGATTCAGGATTTATGCTTCGTACAGAGGTGATTTACAAGGGAAGTGATTCAGTCGGGTGCTTCATTGAGATGGGTGTTCATGTGCCAGCGGAGCCTTGGAGTTGATTATATTCGGGACCAAGCCAGAGTGGGTGACTCTCAACAACGGTCCTAGTGAATTCAAAGGTTAAAAATGCGGTGCCTAAGGATTCAAGCCCGCAGTATGGTTAAGAATCGAGCTTTTGTAGCAGATTATGATAAGAGGCTCGGAATGTTCTATGATATTTTTGGCTTGCAATGCAACATTTGGAGGAATGAGAGAAAATGACTTTGGATTCGTAGGGGAATTATCAGAATGGGTGTATCAGTCCAAGGTGCGAATGTGTGTGCGAGGAGGGCATGAAACGGTTCATAGGTTTGGAGACAATGTTGTCTCGTGGAATGGGGTCACTCAAGATGAGTGTGGATTTAGGTTCGTGATGTAAGGAATGGAGCTATTATTATCTCTAAGGCAAGTCAAGGATGAATTAGAAGAAGTTAGATTGGTTAGCCATGGTTGAATTGGCATAATGATGGCAGTGATCAGTTCCTTCAGTGTGATTAAGTTATGCATATGATTTGTGATGGTACGTGCGAGGCATGACGACCGCCGTAATTGATTTTATTTGGAAGTATTCAAGTATTATGGCCTGTTAGGTGTAGGCGGATCCCAGAAGGGCTATGGTGGTTTAGACCACTATTTGAGGATTTGCATGTTCCACGGTTATGAGAATTCACTCGCGTGTTGCTATTGTTCTCTTGGAATGAGTTAAGTAAAAGGTTTCTATGTAATGAAGTGTTTACCATATTAGTGGTTCAGGGGTTATGATGAAATTCTCGTACTATCGCATATTGGCATGTTAGGTGCAGTGAGCGGTATGAAATTTGAAGGTTAAGGATTAAGGTCTCAGTCCGGTATTCACAAGGATGTCACGAGCTCAGATGAGCAGGAAGGGATTTAGATTTTTAAAGTTAGCTAGTATTGCTTTCAGTGTCACCTGAGATCGGTGTTTTTGTGAAAGAGGCTTTGCATCCGGTTATGGATTCTTGATTTGCTTTACAGCATTTGTATGGCCGATGGTATGGATGTGCAGACTTGTTACCTGGTGCGTGAGGTCGTGGGAGTGTATTCCACGGGAAGATTGTATATGTGTGACATGAAGTCACTTGATTGATTGAAGATTTAAACCAAGTATGAAGAATGTGGTAATATCGCTTGTTTGAGAATTTATGCCTGGAGGGCGCTCGGTTCATTTGGTTGTGGACTGTGGAAGTTTTTCCCGGTTATGATGGTTGTTCTTGCGTGTTATGGGAAAAAGGGGGGTCATTATGGACCGTTGACAGGTTATTATCCTAGTACAGTGCGATCAGAATCGGCTTGTAGTCTGTGGATGGATTTAAACATGAATATGGGCTCTATATCAGGCCAGATGTGTTCATTTCAGCATAGCGCTCCTTATGGAGGAGTATTCGAACGTTGGATGTTATTTCGTCGTCGGCTATGTCATGTAATTGTGCCGTGTGAGTTGTGAAACAGTTTGATAATTCTCTTATGTGGTGAGGTCCTGCGTAGCGATGGTATTATGTGAGCAGGATGGCTCTTGAAATTCAGATCATATATCGCACCTCAGTTGTGCTTGAGATTTGTAGCGTATGGCTCTATCTGTCTCCCTAGGGATGGTATTATGCACTTAACGTGCTTGTGACCGATATTCGGTATTTTGTAGTAATGAGCAATTTAGCTCGGTAAGTATCTCCTTATGTGAATTTTATGTGTGGATTGGGTGGCACGCCGACACGGGTATGTTATTTGGATCGGGTTGCACGCCTCAACAGTGTGATGTTGAGTACAGTCCCCTATATTCTATTTTGTGTGTTTTGTTTCCCATTTTCTGAGGAAGGTTCATGGCACCTTTTTGGTTGTCTAATTAGTTACGTTGGTTGAGAAGTCCCTTCAAGAGTTTGTTTTCCTTATGTATCACGTTCGAGTTTATAGCGTATTGGCATATTGTGGCATCATATGAGACTTTTGGTCATGTCTAGGGGTGGCGTATTGCCTGAGCAGTTCGTACTGGGTGAGACAAGATTATTGGATCTAGGATCAATGCGATTGGATTATATGAAGTATATCAAAGAGCAAATACCATTATTTGATTCAGAATGAGGTGATGGTTCTTGTCAAGAGTAGAGACTTAATGATTTGTTGACTCAGCAGATGGTTATGATTTTCAACACATCTCTTCCGTCGTGGCGGTATTGCAGAAGTTGGGACAAGACTTATATATGTCATCAGGTGTATTGGGTGCATCATATTCGTGGAATTTCGGCTATTGTTATCAGGGGATGTTATTATGGTCATGGGAGCAATCATGTACGGTGCATAGTGTGAATTCAACAAAGGCATGCAATCATGTACGGTGCATCGTGTAGTGATTGATACAATATTTGTGGGTTGGAAGCAGGCCTGGCAGAGAATTTCGGGTGTTGGAACTGGGTTCTAAGCTTATTTGTTTGAATAAAAGAGAATATCTTCAGATGTGATCGAGTTAATATGCTCAACTGAGCTGTGGTAGCACGGGTAGGTGCTCAAGGTGTTGAACAGTGATTTCAGACAACTCCAGTGCAGTTCTCAGCACGTTCGAGGACGAACGTATGTTTATGTGGGAGAGAATGTAACGACCCGATTGGTCGTTTTGATCTATGGCGCGTCGTTCGGCAGTTTGAGGCCACCAGCAGCTTCACTTCAGGTATTATGACTTGTACGCGTGGTCTGGATAGAATCCCGGGAAGTTCGAAGTTGATTTGGAGAGAACATTCTCATTTCGAAAGCTTTAAGTTGGAAGAATTGACTAAGATTGGATTTTTGAGTAAACAGCCTTTGAATCGGGATTTGAAGGTTCCAACAGGTTCGTATGATGATTTTGGACTTGGACGTATGTTCGGATCGGGTTTTGGATGACCCGGGAGCATTTCGGCGCCAATTGTGGAAGTTAGCATTTTGAAAGAATCTCATAAGTTTGGGTTGAAGTGCATTTCAGTGTTATCAATGTCCGTTTGGGGTTTCGAGTTAGGGAATAGCTCCGTATGGTGATTTGGTATTGGGAGCCAATCGGAAGTGGATTTGGAGGTCCGTAGGTCATTTTGGAGCCATTTGGCTAAAGTTAGAAATTTGAAGGTTTTTGAGAAGTTTGACCAGAAGTGGACTTTTTGATATCGGGTCGGATTCCGATTCCGGAAATTGGAGTAGGTCTGTAATGTCGAATATGACTTGTGTGCAAATTTTGAGGTCAATCGGAGGTGATATGACTTATGTAATGTCGAATATGACTTGTGTCCAGAACACTAACCGAACGGGCTATTTTTTTCGTGTCCAGTCCGGACCAACCCGTCCGGTTAACACCTATAATATAATAGTTTATGGTTCCGATTCAAGCAATATCGGAAATCAAGAACCTCATGTTGACGTGGATGAACTTACAAAAATGATGCAAAGCATGTGATGTACTCTTTCTTATTTTTTTATAATTGTTGTAAACTTTAATTTGCAAGTTCAAAAATAAAAAATAAAAATAGAACTTGCAAATTGATTTGAAGTATTATTTATTATTCAATGAAAATAAAAAATGAAAGCCTTCGGAGTTTGATCCTTACATAATGGTTTTATTAAATAATTTTTTGTAGCCACTTACTTTCAATTTTAAAATTTTAAAATTCAAATTTCAAATTTAAAACTTCAAACATTAAAGTTTAAAGTTTAATCCTAAGCCTTATAAGTTTGCAAACACTTAAATCTCAATAACATTGAATAAGAAAAACATAATATACTAATAAAAAAAAAGGTAACCCGACCCGGTCCGGACCTGTTAAGCCCAAACCCGGACGGGACCTAATTAACCCAGATTTTTACAACCCGTTACCAGCCCGGTTAGCCAGCCCACTAACCAGCCGGGAACACTGACCGGACGGGTTATTTTTTTCGTGTCCAGCCCGGACCAGCCCGTCCAGTTAACACCCATAATTTGAATTTTGAGAAGTTCTAATATAACATCCACAGCCTCTCAATTTTTAAAGTCTCTCAATCGTTATTTGAAGTTTGAGAAGTTTTAATAAAGGATTCCATTATTTCAATTAAGAGTGTATATCGGTCAAGTTAGTTCGGATTTTTTAATTACCAAACCAAACTAATGGTGTCAGGTTTTTAAATCAATAAACCAAATCAAACCAACAAAGTCAGATTTTTCAATCTCGATTTTTCTCGGGTTTATCAAATTTTTCCGGTAAAGTCTTCATAACACAAAATATATAACTTGTGCTCCAAGTATTTCTTTAGTCCTAATTGGATATAACTACATAATGTATTTTTAAAAAAAAATAACACAATAATATGAGATGTCATAACATTGTACTAAGATACTCAATAACAAAGATAATAAAATCGCATAAAACAAATATTACTAACTAATAAGCCATAATAAAAATGAACATAATAAGTCATTCTAAAACAAGTACATCAAATAAGTACTATTAACTACAGGACCAAGAACTAAAGAAAAAGATAAACTAAGTTATGCATTTTTTTTTGGTAACAAAAGGAAATATTCATATATATTAAGTCATTATAGGGACAATTGATGTCCTGTTACAACCATCTAGGCTAGATAGTACACAGAGGTTTCCAAGACTAGCAAACTTAGTAAACATAGGCATAGGAATATTTCTACTAGACACCATGGCCTTTTCATCGGACTGTAAGCTTGAAAATACAGACGCAGGCGGATAGTTTAATATATATATATATATATATATATATATATATATATATATATATATATATATATATATATATATATATATATATATATATATTATCACTTGACTGCTTCCTTGCTCCATCACTTGCCAAAATGTGCGCTACTTTGTTCCCCTCCCTGAAGCTATGCCTGATGACTGGATTCCCCAACCTCTTCAAGAGAGACCTGCAAGAATTTAGTAGATTGAGAAAAATAAGGGTTTGTTCATTTAATAATTGGAGTACTTCAATGGAGTCTGTCTCAATCTCCACAGGAGTGAGGTGGTGATCTATTGCTAGATGTAGCCCTTGTTCCAAAGCACTCAACTCTGCATGGGTGTGGTTGAGAGCAACAACCTGTTTAAAGAAACCTACGACCCATTTTCCATTTGCATTTCTTATAACCCCTCCAATACCACTAGCCTTGCCCTTAGCATAGAAGGAGCCATCCGTGTTTAGCTTAAAAGATCCTGGAGATGGAGGGAACCACCTAACTTGGATAGTTTTTATTAGGCTAGGGGGAGAGGAATTCCCCGTACAGTACATGTACTCCATAGCCCGCATGCACACAGTTTTGGTGTCTATCAGTGTATTAGTTTCATTCAAAACATTATGGTTTCTATTTATCCAAATATGCCATAGAGCAAAAGGAAAGAAGAAATCCCATGTTAGCGGGTAGTTCATGATAGGTATTTGCATGTCTTTTATTAAATGAAGCCAGTGAGTATGATGATAGGGAAGGGCAGGAATATTTAGTCCCAGGTCCATCTAGAATTTACGGGCAGTGAGGCATTCAAGAAAAATGTGGTGGATGGATTCAGAGGGATGCATGCAAATTGAGCAGTTTGGTGGAACATTTATACCTATATGATGAAGATAGGAATTTGTTGGCAGCTTATTGTGGGAACAAAGCCATAGAAAAAATTGGATTTTTGGTAAGGTATTTAGAGTCCAAATCCAGTTGAACTGATACTTATGGTCAGGCGGAGGTTGTAGTAGGTTTTTGACTGACTTTGTAGAAAACAGGCTATTTGATTTTAATGACCAGTAGGGTGTATCATCCTTACCCTGACACAAGGAGATTGTCTTAACTTGATTAAGAAAATCTTGTGGAATTTCCATGGAGATCCTTGTCCAATCCCATTGGAGGCCATCCCAAATGTCATGTAAGCTAAGTCGTTGGTCCTTTTGGGTTAGGGGACCTTGAATAATTGTCCTAAGAGGTGGTGAGAGAGGAGACCATTTAGTGTTCCATAGATCAATGGTAATTCCTGACCCTAGATCCCATGCTATGGCTTTTGAGCATATATTACCCCCCGTAACAATATTTTTCCAAATAAAAGAGTGTGAGAAGGAGGTTCTTTGTGGACAGTATTTTCTAATGAGGGTTTGTGCCCAAAGGGAGGTGGGGTGAGAGAGGAGTCTCCAAGCTAGACTTGTTAGTGAGCTCCTGTTCTTATCATGAGCTTTTTGGATGCCTAAGCCCCCTTGGTCTTTTGGTAGGGTGACAGTATCCCAGTTTATGTAATGAATTTTCTTCTTTCGTGGGGTAGAGCCCCATAGAAAATTTCGCTGGATCTTGTAAATATTGTGACAAGTTCTTTTAGGAAGTAGGAAATATTGCATGGCGTATGCTGGGATGGTATTGAGAGTGGATTTGATGAGTGTGAGTCGCCCTGCTGGTGTTAGGAATTTGAGTTTCCAGCTGGCAAGCTTGTTTTTCATATTATCAATAATATACTGGAAATCATGGTGTTTAGGATTATTATTCAATATAGGAAAGCCAAGATATCTACCAAAAGTATTGGTAGCCTTTATCTTTAGAAGGTTTTGGATTAAATCCCTGGGAGTATCATGGCATCTCTTAGAAAAAATAACCCTAGATTTAGTAGAATTTATCTTTTGCCCTGACAGTGTGCAAAAGAGACTAAGGCTATTATGTATTGAGAGGATAGATTTTTGGTTAGCTTTAGCCATAAGGGTAAGATCATCTGCAAAAAATAGATGAGAGAGTTGAGGACCATTTTTACTAAGGGTGATGGGATCCCATAGTTGAAGGTCAACCTGATGATTGATATAGTTTGATAACATTTTCATACACAGGATAAAGATGTACGAAGACATGGGATCACCTTGTCGTATACCCCGGGATGGAAAAAAATAGTTGGTTTTGGAGCCATTGATCAAGATGGCAATGTTGCTTGTAGTAATGCAGTTTAAAATTAGTTTGGAGATTTTTGGAGGGAATTTAAAGAATTGGAGAGTACGGTAAACAAAAGACCATTCAATATGATCAAAAGCTTTCTCAAGGTCTATTTTAATAATGCATTTTCCTTCAGTCCCTCTTGTATTATTAATGTGATTCATGACTTCCTGGATAAGGATGGCATTATCACAAGCCCTTCGCCCTTTAAGAAAGCTAGTTTGGCATGGGCCAATAAGGTCAGGCAGATATAGCTTAATGCGGTTGGCAATAATTTTTGTAATTATTTTATAGACGGTATTACAAAGGCCAATAGGTCGGAAATTCTTAAGATCATTAGCATTGTGAAATTTTTAGAACTAGGCAAAGATATGTATTATTTATAGAGGTTGGCAGTTCCTGGGTGTTAAAAACATGTCTACAAAGATTTGTTATGGAATTGCCAACTATATTCCAGAATTTCTGGAAAAAGAAAGGATGAAGGCCATCGGGGCCCGGTGCTTTAAAGGGTTTAAAGGAGAATAAGGCCTGGGTAACCTCATTGTCCATTAAGGGATTATCCAATAAGGAGAGGTCAATATTATGGAAACTTGGGGGGGCTGATTTAATGTTAGCCCAGTCAGTACTTGAATGGCTAGTAGTGAAGATGTCTTTAAAATAGTTAGTGGTATGCCTAACAAGGCTTTCATGATCAGTAATCCAATTACCATGGTCATCTTTAGAGAAGGATATTTTATTCCTTCTTCTACAATTGACAACGGACAAGTGGTAGAACCTAGTGTTAGCATCACCCTCGTTAAGCCAACTTATTCTAGACCTGATTTTCCAAAAATCCTCTTCCAACCTAAGAATATCATTATATTCGGTGGTTAGAGATTTTTCAAGGGATTGGAGAAAAGTATTGGTGGCATAAGCCTGAGATCGTTGGATTCCATTTAATCTAGCCAAAATTTTCTTTTTCCTAGAGAAAATATTTCCAAAGGTTTCTTTATTCCAGGAGCTGACATAATGAGTAAATAGTTCAGTTGCTTCTGTAAACTCCCTATACTGCCAACTCCTTTTAACTAGGTTTCCAAAATCCGGGTGAGAGCACCAATAGCTTTCTAGACGGAAGGGTTTTGTAGTAGAATTGGGGGAGGGGGGGGGGGGATGTCTAAAGGTATTATTTGTATTAATAAGGAGGGGGTTATGGTCCGAATATGTTTTTGGCAAATGAGTTATGGAAACATTAGGGTAGTTAACAAGCCATTCTTCATTTGCAAAACAACGATCTAATCTCTCAAGAATTAAGCCACTAGTTTTCCTACGATGATTGGACCATGTATAACGACTACCTTTAAAACCTAGGTCAATTAAACTACAAGAGTTAACACAAGACCAAAATCTATTTGATCGAGACATATTAATCTTTCTACCTCCAAATTTATCCGTTTGACTTAGAATATCATTAAAATCCCCCGCAACCATCCAAGGTCCATTGTAACTAGTAGATATGTTTTCTAGATTTTCCCAAAGTTTCCTACGATTAACAGCTTTTGTACTAGCATATACAATACTAAGTAACCAAGGAGGGTGATCTGGGAATACCTGAATCATTGCATGGAGCTCCTGGGTGGACTGCCTAAGTCGAGTAACTGTCACCATGCTGGTGACCCAAAGCAGAACGATCCCTCCTGCCCTTCCTTGAGCGGGGACCTCCATCATGTCATCAAAATGGAAAGTATCTCTAAGAGATGCATGGTCCTCCATCTTTGTTTCTAATAGGGCAACCATGCATGGGGTGTGAGTATCGATAAGGTCTCTAAAGTTCCTCCTAAAAGTTTCATTATTAGCCCCCTTGTGTTCCAAACAATAAAACTGGTAGGTTTATTCATGGGAATGCTTTGATTGTGGGGGTTCATTGACACCTGATTCTCATTCACAGAGAACTGACTTCCCCTCAGAGTTGGGGTTAGTAAGACTGCATATTTCACTGTAGCTCTGTTCACCGGAGGACGGAGGTCGAACGAGCACTTCATGAGAGCCACTGGGCAATTGTAGATGAACTTTTTGTCCTCTCTCTCCGGGAACAGCATAAGGGCTGCTTCTTTGAGATTTGAGATTTCGATGAACGATCTTGTGGGCAGTGGGAGATCCAAGATCTCTTCCTCCATCTCTATTTCTTCTTGTTCCTGGGGTGGGTGAATGTCCATAGGGTTGGGATTTATTGGGGGAACCTGGGCTTGCCAAGGAAAGATCAGTGGGTTGCCCACAGTCATCTCCACTGGGGAGAAGAAGGGCAGGTCATGTGGGATACTCATTTTGAGAGGAGGGTTGAAGTGGGGAGGGAGATTCCAATGCTGATGCATGTTGTGGTATAGAGCTAGGGCTAGGGGATTAGAACGTTGGCCATCCACATGTGGTTTAGGTAGTTGTCTAGGGCTAACCTCATCCCCTCCGAAATCATCTGGGCCAGGAAGGTTGGATTTTGAAGCACTATTAGCACCTCCCTGTCCTCTATGGTCATGGTGAAGAAGACTGCCTAACCTTGCAGTCCTTGCTCGATCCATGACTGTGGAGGTTGGGCAGGGTTGGGACGGTGAGCAACGTACACTAACTGGTGATGAGCTATATGAGGGGGCATTGGAGGAAGGTTTTCCATTTGGTTCGAAATGTGTCTGTTGTGGTAGAGAGTTTGGTTCCTTGATGCTAGGGGAAGAAGAGGAATAATCATACTGGAATGTAGTGGAGGGTATTAATGGAGCTTCATGAATGATGAGTGATGATTGAGAATCACTGTCGTGGGATTTATTAGAGAGTGGATTGGCTGGCTTTTGCGTGGAGTATTGGATATTAGAGGTTGGAGTATCAATTTGCATGGCCATTTTTCCATTTGCCATAGCCGCGTGTTGTGGTGAAGTTTTCTGAGGGTTATGATTTTGATCTTTTTTTGCAATTTGGGGCCTATCTAAATAGGTATTGGAAGGTTCTAAGGGTGGTAGTAATAATTTTTTATTTTTAGAATTATTAGGTGTAGGCACGTCTGTGCCACGTGTCCCAATAGTTGGGGTGCCTGCTTCGTTTGTATCGAAGAGGATAGGGAATGCAGAAAGGTTGCGCTTGGCTGTTCCTCTTCTTCCTCAGGATAATGAAGAGCATTAAATTTATTGATCAAAGTAATTTTCTCTTTTAAAGAAGTATTTTGTCCCACGTTTTTATTATCAACGTTGTTTGGTTGTGAATAATTATTATTAAGAGAGTTCATAAAATCGATTATCCCAGAATGCTGTGAAGAGGAAGGCAAGGTAGACTGGGCCTCATTCTTTTTTTCCTTGAAGGAAAGTTTATGAGAAGAGAGATATTTACCTGAATCGGCTGCGAAAATCTTAATGTTTATACCTGGACCTTGGGAATCTTGACGGGCAGCAGTCATGGCTTCCATTGTTGTCTTTGTCCTGTTGTTGTGTCGTCTTCTTCTATTGAAAAGCACCGTTTGCCATTCTTCTGTTTGCAGATGATTTGTAAGACACTGGGTAGTTGTCCCATCTTTTATTGATTTACTTTGATCAAGGTCTTTGGCTTCCTGATAAGAGCATCCTGAACTTGTATGTCCCAACCTACCACATAACTTGCATAGAAAACCCTCCCCTTCATATATTATCTGTTGCAAATGGTATCCGATGAGGATTCGAGTAGTAACTGGTTCCTCTAGTGGAACCTGGATACACAGTCTAGCATAGCGTCCTCTAAGAGTGGCGCTTGTGCAAGCGTCGATTTTCAGCAGTGATCCAATAGAATTTCCAATTTTCTTTAGCAAGGATTCATCGTAAAACTCAGTTGGGAGTTGTGGCAAATGTATCCAAACTACAGAGACAGTTTGCTTGGCATGTGCAGCCACAAAATTTGGTTCCCAGCGCTTTATCGATAGAAAATGGCCATTAATAAACCATGGGCCATTTTGAAGTACCTTCCGCATGTTTTCTTCTTGTGTAAATTTAACAATATAATAATCACAGCCCAGATCTATTAGAGGAAATTGTTCTGTAGGTTTCCATAGGTCTTGGATTTTTGCTTTTAAGTAATGGTGGACTATTCTTTTGCCAAATAGTTTAATAATTAAGGAGAATTTCCATGGATGATGAAGTCCTTCTCTTTCATGGTCTAAGAGTGTAATCGTCTTAATTCCACTAACCTGTGGAGCTGACTTCTCTTGTGACTGGGTAACGGTTTCAACAGATGAGACTTGTAGTTGAACGTCGTCCATTGGATCAATATCCAAATTGATTTGTTCAGCATTTGCAAGTAGCTTTTCTTTGTAGTTTAGAGGGGAGGTATTATCCTGTGTATGTGTGGATGGGATATCAAGTGGTTCTGGGGGGATTTGGGTTGTTCTTGCTTCCAGGCACTGTGAAGTAGTGTTTTGAGAGAGCATTTTTAGCTACCTCCCACTCAAAAAAAGTTACGGAGAAAAAATGTTGGCCTCTCTAAGTTATACATTTTCATTATAAATCAATGCAAAACTAAAAATAGATATCCAGCACTATTATCATTTCTAGTGTCAAATTAAATTTATTCTGTTAACATTAATATTGATTTGAACTTTGTTTGAGTTACTATATTTATGGGCTCTAGAACTTATTGGACCATTCCACGATGTTAAGTCCAAGCTTGAAATAATACATAAAAAGATAAAACTGTGAAAAAGTTTAAGAAATATTTATATATTACATTATAATAAATATTTATATGCATAAAATATTTTTAAAATTTGTATAAATGTATTTTCGGTTTGGTTTGGTTTCAGATTGACTTTTTTAGCTAAAACTTAAGCAAATTAATTATGGTTGGATTTTTTTCCCAATACTAAACCAAACCACATCCGCTTTTTTCGGTTTGACTCGGATTATCGGTTTGGTGCGATTTATCGGTTTTTTTTGTACACCCCTAATTTTAATTGTAGCAATTTGGTACCTTAGTTCGAGCTTTTTTCCTTTAATTGATTTTTTTAGTTAACTATATTTGCTGCTATTACTTTTTATTTGCACCCATTATTGTTAGAATCAACCATGGAAATGAAAAAGAAGAGTGAAGCATACAAGAAGAATTAGGAATTTTCACTATGGCATTAATTGAATGAAATGTACAGGGGTGTACAGGCTCTAATATACAGCTCCACTAGCTAACTAACCGACCTATTCTAACAATAATAATAAAAGACTCCAACTTTATTTTATTTATATTTTGACCCCAAGACTAATAACTAACTAACATGGTATACTTCAATACTCCCCCTCAAGCTGGAGGGTGAAATATACTCAGTACACCCAGCTTGCTTAATAACAAATGATGTTGCCCAGAAGTTAAACCCTTAGTAAGCAGGTTAGCCAATTGATCTGTAGTATGGGCATACTTGGTTTCTAGAACTCTTTGGGTGATCTTCTTTCGAACAAAATGACAATCAATTTCAATATGTTTAGTGCGCTCATGGAAGATAGGGTTGCCAACAATCTGCATAGCAGCCTTGTTATCACAATAGAGAGTAACAGGTCGAAGAACAGGCACACCTAACTCTGCAAATAGTCCCAGTAACCAAGTGACCTTAGCAACAACAACGGTCATACTCTTGTACTCAGCTTCTTTACTGCTCCTAGAGATTGTGTGTTGCTTCTTAGACTTCCGAGAGATCAAGGAGTCCCCAAGTTTGACCAAATAGCCACTAATAGATCTTCTAGTGACCGGGCAAGCTCCCCAATCTGAGTCACAAAATGCAGTAAGAGAATGCATAGGTGATCTCTTTAGGAGAATGCCAAGACCTGGTGCGTTTTTTAGATATCTCACTACCCTAAGAGCTGCCTCCATATGGGACCTTTTAGGAGCGTACATGAATTGGCTAAGACTCAGTACAATATAGGATATATCAGGCGGGGTAACTGTTACGTACAAAAGCTTGCCAATAAGCTTCTGATAGCTGGTAAGGTCTACCAAAGGATCAGTAGTAGATGAACAACCTACCACCTTATTAAACTCAATTGTGGTCAATTTTGATTGATTTCTAGTGGAGTTACTGCTGGCTTGGCTCCACTAAGCCCTAGATCTGAGATCAATTCTAGAGTGTACTTCCTTTGATTGAGTAGGACACCATGTTTGGACCTCAACACTTCAATGCCTAGGAAGTACCCTAGCTCACCCAAATCCTTAAATTTAAATCGTTGATGCATTGAATGTTTGGCCTCTTTGATCAACTCTAGATTGCTACCAGTGAGTAACAAATCATCTGTGTAGATCAATATCACCACAATATCCTGCCCAACCTTCTTAGTGAATAGGGAATAATCAAACTTGCTCTGTATGAAACTTGCATGTAACAGAGCTTGAGTAACCTTTAAGTTCCACCGTCTAAATGCCTGGTTAAGCCCATATAATGATTTCAACAGCCAGCAAACCTTTTTGTTCTCCCCCTGTCTCTAAACTGAATGAAATGTACCAGGTGTACAGGTATTAATTAAATGAAATGTACAGGGGTGTACAGGCTGTAATATACAGTTCCACTAACGAACTAACAGGCCTATTCTAACAATAATAATAAAAGACTATAAATTTGTATTATTTACATATTGTCCCCAAGACTAATAACTAACTAACATGCTATACTTCAATAATTATAACACACAATCTCATTCTGCTTTTTAATACAATGAGGAAAAGACCATGATGATGAAAACGATAAAAGAAGAATCAATGCATATCATATTTACTAGTTAAATTAAGCCCCTACTAGTGAATCAGAATATCCATATATTGAATTAAATTTCCAAGTTATATGCCTATATTAATAGAAATTGTTATAAATATAAAGTCCACTTCATGTAAGTAAAACAAAAATTTATGAAACTGTGAGTGGTAGCGAGGGAACAGAAACATTAGCTTGCCAAATGATAAGAGGTGATTTTAAGGCTTTCATACCTCAAGAAAAATGCATTGCTAACTCAAGTACAACAAACATTTACTCACGAGGCACTTTTCTACTAGTTTCGTACCATGAAGTTTAATTTTTGAACATGTTTAATCTTGATATACCCATTATTAGTAATTAGCTCATTAGATAGACTGATCTCTACATTTTTCCATTTTGCTATGTATTAGTATTGTTTTCAGTACACAAAATAAGAAAACTTTAACTTGTTATTCACATATTGCTAGATAGAGACGGAGGCGGATCCAGGATTTGAAGATGATGGGGGCACATGAGCGAATTGTTCAACCAGTGCCTCTATTGGACTTATAATCTTAAAGGTTATGAGCAAAATATATGACCGTTTTTACATATATACATATATTCAAAAAAACTGCCAAGGTTGACCGTGTCCAATGACCTTGCTCAATATATAGGTAGAGAGGTTTGAACTGAAACAAAACTAGAGGGGTCTTATATAGGAAGTTTGATAATCCCTTGAGTGTAGTAGGGATGTCCTTGTTCTATAGGAAGCACAATTCATGAAGATACACACAAAAAACATCATGTTTGAACAATCTTTTAATTAGATGCCCTGGTTTGTACTTGCACTATTACTAGTAATGTTAAAGGTCGTATAAATATAATATGGTCGGAGTGATATTTTGGAAAAGCAAGGGCCATATGTATTCCATTTTCAAGAAACAAGTAACACATTATTTAGAAGGACTACGAGGAAAATATAAACATTCAACTTGTGAATTGTATATGGTAAAAATCGATCTCAGAAGACAGATGATTTAGGAAGCAACACGTATCAATCAGCAGTGATTCAACCATGTTCTCACCGGGTATAAACCTGCGGCCGAAAAAGATGTTCACACTGGATACAAACTTATGGCCGGATAAGATATTGATACTGGATACAAACATATGATCGGATAAGAAGCAATTCAAGATATGACTGTTATAGCAACGTTACAGAAGACCCCAAGATTCATCCAGCCTTTACTAGCCTTTATTAGGCTTTATTAACCTTTAATATTCTTTATCACATTTTCATTACCTTTTATTCTAACATTTATATTGGTGATTAATTGAGCATAAATGGTATATACATCCCATAGCTCTAGTATAGAGGCTTACATTCTGTTGTAAGACATCAAGAAGTACTAATAGCAAAAGACTAGAATTCTTTCTCTCAAGCTTTTTACAGGTATTGTCAAAATTTTCTAATTATTCTGGATCCCAGTGGGAACATTCTAAAGCTCAAACTTGTGTTTTTCTCAATTCCCTTTATTTTAATCGTTTTGTTCTTCATTACTTTATTTTATCAGATTAATTTAATCCACGTGTCTATAAACTATATTCCAAATTCAACTGTACTATTTTTTCAATAAATAGTTTGGCACACCATGAGGCATAGACAATTGTGGTGTTATTTTAATTTGTTCATCTTATACTAACGTGCTTTAAAGGTTTTTTCTATTTTAAGCATACTACAGTTATGTGGCACACAATGATATCAATAACTCGCTCAATGATGGACAAACTATAACGATGAGCCCTTGGAAAATCTCCATAATAGAAATCAACAGGATGGTTCAACTAGTGAAACTTGTCTCGATGGTAATGAGTCAATTCCTAACCGGATAGAAAGAAAATTTGACATGAGAGGAGCCCTACCCCTGATGATATGGATAGTGAGCCGGTGGCTGTTACCGTAAAAATGTTGAAAGCACAACAATGGAAAATTATGGATCATCTCTCAAGACAGGAGTGGATAATGACTAAGCTTCAACAAGCAATACCAGGGACTTCAAATAATTCAAATGGTAGAGTTCTAGCCCCTCCTGGTGTCCCTGTAAATCAAATGGCACCAAGAACCGGTGACACCATTATCTGGGGGGTGGGGGGAGTTCGAAAGAAACAACAATAAAGCAGGTGGTGCCTGTAGTGGATCTGAAAATGAAAATAACGCAAAGGATTCTTTCAAAACTAAATTCATGAGGTTTATGAGGGAAATAAATGCTCGAATGGATCAAAATGTTAAAGAATTTCATGCTCGGATAGATCAGATTTCGAGAGCACCTTTGGTCCTAAAGGGCTCGGACTCAAAAAAGTATTTTCAGTTACCATTCAAACCTAGTACGGCTCCGGAGTTGATTCCAAAGAGATTCAAAATTCTAGGTATTCTAAAATTGATGGAATATCGGATCCACAAAAACACATTACAACTTATACTTCATATGTGAAGGGAAACGATTTGGCTCCACATAAGATCGAATTAGTCTTGTTAAAGAAATTTGGTGAAACCCTAACAAAAGGGGTTTTACATGATATTCACTTTTACATGAACACTCAATTGATTCTTATGAAATTCTTGTAGATTCTTTTATTATAGCTCACGTTGGAGCGAGGAAAGCAGATATTTTCATAATTATTCAAGGAGACTCAGAGTTGTTGCGAGGGTTCGTGATAAGGTTCCAAAGGGAACGCAT